CTATTACGGCCTCAGCTGCCAAAAAGTTATTAGAAATTCTTGATATTGATCACACTTATAATGACGCTGCTATTGACGTAGAGTTGGCCGATTTTATTCTAGACAACAAACTCATTGCTTATGGGGTTCATCCACAGATTATAACTCAATGGAAAGCTAAGGATGACATGTCAGATACTGTACCTGGACCTGATGCTGTAGACAAAATTTATTATTTGACAAACTCCACCTTAGAATTTCTCGGCTTTAGACGAGGATGGTCATAGACAAGAATCATATAATTATGATTAATGGAATTCATATATTTGCTAGAGTTTAATTTTAAGAATTAATTTCTTGCTTAAGCCTTTTGTATTATACACTAATTTATTCTTGCGTAATGGTTTTATTTGAAATTTATTATTACTAGATTAATTACTTGGCTAATGTGTAGTATTCTAATATGATAAATATAATATTTGAAGTCTAACATAGAGACAATATAGACTTAAAAATGTTAAAGACTTTTTATTCTCGGCATTATGAATAGTTTATGTAATATTCGAGACACTAATAAATAATTAAAAAATTAGACATATCCTCAAGGGTATACTTTGACTTAGGTGGCATGCTCTTTTTGATCGAAAATTATATATCAAAAACATTGCTTTCTGTTGTAACCTTCCGATGACCTCGTATATTGCTCAACTATCTAAATTTCCGATTACTTTCGATCATGAAAATTCAGTAAACCCTATCAAACTCTATTTTGAAATCTATAGTAATTGGTTTTGAAGTCCTAAATCTAAAATGAAAATATCTATTTTGTACACTGTGTATATACAAGGGTATTAAGAAAGCCAATCTGATTACACGATCAGGTTAACGTAAAATTATTGCTTTAAAAAATCGATTATAACTCAAAATTTCGCTTATGAAACCACCTTTCGGGTATCCCCAGTTCACCATTGCTCTAACCTTAAGTGGCGCTCAATTTTTTGTTTTATACTAATTATTTTTATTTCATTATATAATCTTCAAAAAAACATAGCATCTTAAAAATATTTGATTTTTATTTCCACTATCACAATTAGAGATGGACAAATTGCAAAAATCCCGCGCGGGAATTCATTAAACCTAGGTGTTGCAGTTGATCCTCGATTTTGATTGGCCAACGGCTGTGATCAACAAAATTCTGGTCCGCATTATACATAATTTTAGCTGGAATTTAATTTTTTAATTTTTTTTAATTGCAAATTAGAAAATTTTAAGGTTTAGTCCTGTGCAATGGTAAAATTAGCCCAGAAACATATTCACTTAATGGACGGCCACGATTTCATTAGTAAAAATGCGAGTAATTTTGTCTAAATTTTTGATTGTTGCCAATC